TCACACAGCCAGTCAACGGCTGGCTGTCTGACACCTATGCTTGTTTCTCCTAAACTCAGTTGATATGGATTTTCTTTAGATTTGGGGGAGAGGGGGTGGTCTCTTTTCTGCGATATAGGAAACCTGATTGATTTATCAGTAAGTTACGAAGAGGTTGAACATTCTGTGATAACATTCCCATCCACCGGCCCTCAAATACATTTGGGAGCCAGATGCCTGTGACAACTGAGGAGTTTGAGAATTGTGCACGGGAACAGAAGCCATATCAAAACAAAGCTTTATGTTTGTTCCGATGTGAGAATGCCACAGCTAACAGGTAGGTGAGGCCACTGGTTTCTAACATTTAGGGAAAAAAGAAAAGAAAAGAAGTAAATTGTCATCCTTGGCATTTCCCCAATGACATTTGCATTTTTATTTCTATTAGAAGTCCATTTTCGCAGAGAAACGCAGCCTTAGTCACTTGAAGCTGCGCTTCCCTAGGAAACAATTGTAAATGTAATAAGTGAGAAGAATAGAAAATGCCAGCAGGAAAGAATGGAGCCACCTGGGGTCAGATTCATCATGTAGACTGATTTGGTTTCCTTCTGACATTCGTGCTCAGGAAGGAAAACTTGGAAAATTTCTAAATTTAGGGTGTTTACGATTGGCAAAGAGTGAGGGGCGGGGGAGAAAGAATTACATTGCAACCCCCCTGGGTAGGCATCCAGCTCGGATTTCCCCAACTCTGAAGCACCGTTTAACATGTTCCAGTTGCCTCAGTTACCAGAGTCCCTCTTTTGCGTGGGGTGTAAGGTTGCCCGGGAAAGATACAAGAAGGTCATGATGGCTTTATTATAAAATTATGCATACTAAAAGCGCATTTGGAGACTTGATTCTAAATGTTACACTTAAATTTGAGCAATTCAATTGCCCGTTGACTAGAAATGAAATCCCACAGGTCGGCAGTTATTTCTTCCAACCACTGTGTGTGAAATTGAAATCTTAAGATACCATTTCAAATATTAGCTTTCTCTAAGGAAGTTCTCCCCAAAGAGTTGTGAAAGATAAAGACACTGACCCAAAGTCACAGGCAATAATCACTCTTTTCTTTACACCCTCGGGTCAAAACAGAATTATTCAAAGGAAATTTTATGCCCCAAAGTTGGTTGTTCGGAGGTTACCTCCTGGAACCCAAGCATGTATTTATTTTAACAACTAACTTGAGCCCCATGCAAAACAGTAGCAAGGAGGTCAGCAACTTATCAGATTTAATAAGAGCAAGCAGTTCTAAGCATCTCACCTAATCACCAAGGAAGTGAACATTAACATGGAAAATGTTTATGTTTTGTTGAGTAGCAATCAGAGGTAAGGTTAAAGGGACCCTGATCTTTAATCTGTAATTTTTTAATCTTTAATTTCTTTATTGATTAAGGTATTACATATGTGTCCTCAGCTCTCCATTAACCCCCACAACCTCCAGCCTCCACTCATGCCCTCACCCCCCCTTTTGTCTGTGTCCATTGGTTCAGCTTAAATGCATGCATACAAGTCCTTTGGTTGATTTCTTCCCCTTACCCCCATCCTCCCCTCCCTTCCCTCTGAGGTTTGACGGTCTGATTGCTGCTTCTCTGTCTCTGGATCTGTTTTTGTTCGTCAGTTTATGTTGTTCATTATTTGTTTGCTTTTTAAAAATAGAAAACTGTTTTTAATTTGGTTGGGAAATTCCTGTCTTCAAATTTAATTTCAAGCTTTAGTTGTGTATTTATTTTTGACATGTAATTGACATTCATTATGTTAGTTTTAGGTGTACAACACGATGATTCAGTGTTTGTAGATATTGTGAAATGGCCACTACAATAAGTCTAGGTAATGTCATTATATGTAGTTACAATTTTTTTTTCTTATGATGAGGACTTTTAGGATCTACTCTCTTAGCCATGTTCAAACACACTGTATTAACTATAGTCACTATGCTGTACAATACATACCCAGGACTTATTTATTTTATAGCTGGAAGTTGGTACATTTTGACTTCTTTCACCCACTTCGCTCACACACACCAATACCACCCACTCTGGCAACCACAAGTATGTTCTCTATATCTGTGAGTTAAGGTTTTTTGTTTTGCTTTGTTTTGTTTGTGTGTGTTTTTTAAGATTCCACATACTAGTATATGGATCATACAGTATTTGTCTTCTTCTATCTGACTTATTTCACTTAGCATAAGGCTAAGTTCCATCCATGTTGTAACAAATGGCAGGATTTCCTGCTTTTTTAGAGGCCCGGTGCATGAAACCTATGCACTGGGGGGGTGGAGGTAGAGGGTAACTCCTCAGCCTGGATTTTGAGAGGTCACAGGCCAGGATGCAGGCAGGTGGCCAGCTGGGGAGGGACCAGGAGAGGCCTCCAGGGCGGGTCCGGCCTGTCTGGTTCAGTCCTGATCAGTCAGACCCCCAGCAGCAAGGTAACCTACTGATCAGAGCGTCTGCCCCCTGGTGGTCACATCAGTCAAATCAAAGCAGTTGAGTGGCTTTAGCATATCATTAGCATATTACACTTTGATTGGTTGAATGGCCAACTGGACGACCGAACACTTAGCATATGAGGCTTTTATTATATAGGATTTTCTTTATCCATTCACCTAGTGGTGAGCATTTAGATTGTTTCCATATCTTGGCTATTGTAAATAAGGCACCATATTCACTGGTGTGCATATATCTTTTGGACTTGCTGTTTCTGTTTTCTTCAGATAAATACCCAGAAGTGGAATTGCTGGATTCAAGCTCTTGTTAAATTCTCCCAATGATGTCTTTGCTCTCACATAGCAGCTGCCAGTTATGAGCCCTTCATATCCACCAAGTGCGTTCTATGCATTTAATCGCATGCGTTATGCGCCACACTTAGCATGCATTCACTCACTTAGTCCTCACAACAACTGAAGCAATAGGCCTGGCACCCCTGTTTTATAGATGAGGATCCCGGGAGTTTCCATTCCTGCTGTGAGCCCAGGTTCACACAGGGGGGATTCCGGCAGTCTGACTCCAGAGCCACGGCCCAATATTGGCTCCTCAGACTGCGGACCTTTCCTAGGCCACGCTGCCTGTGAAGTAAGAGCCTAAATCAAACCCCAGGCAGTCCAATTCCCAAGTTCCAGCATTTTACCATCACACTGACATACAGGTTGTAAGGATGTAAACTGCCAATCACAACCTATATGTTCATTTTCATTTCTGATCAGAGAGTGGTAGATTACATGGTTATCACAGAATTTAGGCTTGTCTAAAAAAAAAAATCCTAGGGGTTTTCCTTTTTCATGAAGACAAGGACCTAAAGAAAGATTTAAATAATAATAATAATAATAAACACCACAAGAGTCTGATCAGGAGAATGTCTTTTTACATACGAAGGCTTGACTTGGACCCAAAGCTGTTCTTACAGCCTCCTTCCCACACTCACATACCGGGACGGATTTTAATTGTGCCCATTAGGGACCCATGTTTCCGACATGCACACAATAGTGAATTCTGGTTTTTCTTGTAAAAAGTCCATGAGGATTTCCCTGAAGAGGGCAAATGAAGTGTCCAGGGACTCACTTCTGACGTTGGTCACAACATTTCAAGGCGAACTCATGCAGGCCCTCCACTGCCATCCGTGAAATGGGAGTAAAATGACTACCCCTATAATCCACTAAAAACAACACCCTCCACACTCTGAAAGTACTGGGCAGCTTCCTCTTTACAAGGCTGGTGACTGGCATCGCGCACCAACAGGCCTTTAACAATAATTTCTGAATGTGGTTCTTTAGAAGGCACTCTGCCGTGGCCCACGGGACCCCAAGTTTTTCTATATGAAGGGCAGACGATCAGCCGCCTCCTCTCCCCTTCTGTATCTCCTCCCTCTTCCTAGAACTTGCCCTTGAGGTTGGAGGGGAAAGCAGAACTCCAAAATCAAGTCTGGCTTTTTTCCCTCCTCCCCTGACCCAGGGCAACGTGGTCTCTTCATCCTCCCTTGCTCTCCATCCTCAGAAAGGCACTCGCTCTCGTGCAGCGTGTGGCTGGCATTGTACAGGGGGCCAGGTTAGCCGCAGGAGTGTGGTGTTTGAAAGATGCTGAGGGAGGGAATTCGGCCGCCAGCAGATGGGGAGAGGAGAGGAGCCTAGACCCGCGTGGTCCCTCCCAACCACCCTCCCTGCGGGATTAGCAGCCCTGGCAGCGCGCAGGCAGGCAGAGCCGGCCCGCGCAGTCCCCGCTCGCACAGCTCCGGCCGCCCGTCTGCAGAGCGGACGCAGCCACCCGCCCGCAACCACGGACCTGGGACCTGGGACCTCGAACCCCGGACGCGCGCGGCGGCCACTCGGGACGCTTGCATTGCTTGTAGGTGCTTATTTCACACTCTTTGCCTTTTTTCTTCCTTCCTGAGCAGCCGGCTGGGTTACTTTTAGCTTTCGTTCACCAAAAGGGAAGCGAAGCGGGGAAGCCGCCCTGAGGATGATCAGAGGCCACCCGGCCGCCTCTCCCAGGAGAGAGGTTCCCTGAGCGGCTCCCTGCCTCCGACGCCGGCCCCTTTAAGAAGCCCAGTCTGCGCTGCCGCCGCCGCCGCCGCTGCTGTTTGTATGGCAAATCCCCAGGAGCCCCATTAAAAAAAAAAAAAAAAAAAAAAAAAATGGGGGTGGGGGGTACCCGGGCAGCTGTCCCTTTAAATGTGATTTCCTTCTATTGTATTTGAATCGCGATCAGGAAAAGGAAATGAAACCAGAGACAGAGGGAAGCTGAGCGAAAATAGACCTTCCCGAGAGAGAGGGGGGGAGAGAAAACGGGGGGAGCCCAGGGAGAGGGCCGCGATCCCCTCCCGCCCGCGGCCGCCGCCCCCTCCCCTCCCCTCCCCTCCTGCCCTCGGCGGCGAGCTGCGCGCCCCGGGAGGGAGGGAAGGTGCGCGGGGCTCCGGGCTCCGGGCGGCGCGCACCTCCCGCGGGCGGCGCGGAGGAGCCGGGCGGACCGGGCGGCGTTGGCGGCGGGACCGCGATGGAAGGTTAAGTCCTGAGCAGCGGCGGCGGCAGCTGCAGCCGCCGGTGGGGAGCCAGGCTGCGCGCCCCGGTCCCCGCTGGGCCGGCCGCGGCGCGCCGGCAGCCCGCTGACTCGCTCTCTCTCTCTGGCTTTGAAGGGAGCGCGGCGACCGGCCTTGAGCGCGGAGGGGCGAGCCCGCCGCCCGAGCGCCCCGGCCCGAAGCGGCGCAGGAGCGGCGGCGCCCGAGCACCCGACGGCGGGGTCCGCGTCCCGGCCGCCGCCGGCCAGCACCGAGCCGCCAAGGGGGCGCCCCCGCCGCCCGGCACGCCGCCTCCCTCCCCGATGTCCTCGGCCATCGAGAGGAAGAGCCTGGACCCGTCGGAGTAAGTGCGGCGGCCCTGGCACCGGGGAGCGCGGCGTCCTGTCCGCGACCTGGCGCCCCGGGAGGGAGGCGGGGGGCGCGGGGGGGCGCGGGCGGCGGGCGCGGAGGTCGTGCCCTTGGCCCCTCCGCCTCACGGGGGGGGGGGGGCTCCCCTTGCCCGCGGTGACCCCGGGGGCGCTGGGGAGGAGGCTGGGCGGCTGGGAGGGACAGGGGGTCGCTCCTCTCTCCCCGGGAGGCTCCCCAAAAGCCACCGCGGGCCGGAAAGTTTGCACCGGAGCGGGCACCGGGGAGGCGCGCAGGTGCAGTCCCGGGAGCGTGGAGAGCTCGGTCCTGCGCCGTCGCCCCCCTCTCGCTCCCGCTCGGTTCCCTTTCTCTTTGTCCATTTGGAGAGGGGGGCCTTCCAGTGGGGGCTTCCCCGGTGCCTGACAGCCCACGTCCCGGCCCCCTTCCCGGGCCGCAGGTAGAAAGAGCAGCCGCCCGCGGAGCCGGGGACCGGCCGGCGGGGGAAGAGGAGGAGGCGTGAGCTCCACCTCGGAGCTCGCCCTGGCCTCCGGAGGGGAGGGGAGGCCTCCGATGGGAGCCTGGGGACCTCGAAAGTTAGTGTACACTTTGGGTATGGGTGAGATTTTCTGGGGATCGGAGCCTCACGGCTCTCCATCACAGCCTCCCCCCGGGTTTGGGGTCCGGGAACTAGGGCTCTCGTGAGCATCCGTCTGCCTTCTGAGCCTCTGGCTGGTTGGGGGTGTTACCCCGGCCCCAGCTCCGGTACCTGCAGCCCGTTCCCCAGCGTCATTGTGGGGAGAAAGGGCTGCTGAGAAAGCCGTTTTCCCGTCAGCGCAAGTGCCCTTTTAAGATTCATTAGCTGTCTGGTTTGGAGAATTTTTATTCCTTTGAAGTCCCCCATCTAATCCTTTGAAGGGATTTGTTACCCAGACCAAAGGAGCTGGGTAATGACTTGTCCATTTGGGCTTTTAAGAGCCACTTGTTTTGTTTTGTTTTGTTTTCCTTTTCCTGCTTTAAAAGAATGGTGCTTTCCTGATTGAAGTCTCCCCTTCTCTCCTTCTCCCCGCTCCCCCATGTCAGCCTTCTGTGGTGTTTATATACCTGGGTTTTACCCTAGGTTACCGGCATAAAAGCTCAGCGTGTTCTCATAAAACACAGGAAGTGCCACGATCCAATGAGAATATAAACATCACTGTTCAATCCTGGAGGTTCAGGCACCAATTCTAAATGGAGTAAGGTTTGTTCTAACAAAAAACAACAACAAAATAAAAAAAAAAACTCAGCTTCCTTATATTCTCAGGAGAAAAATAACATTCCTTTTCATACATAGGCAGACACCAGGTTTAAAGGGTGGTTGGCTCACTTTTTTTTTTTTTTTTTTTTTTTTTTTGTACAAACCTAGAATTCCAACTTAGCTCTTGAGTTCTCAGAGGCTGGGCGAGACCATAGTAATACTATCAGAGTGCAGTGGGTGAACGGTTGCCAAATGCTTGCTTTTCCATCCGCTGAACGTAGCCGCTGATCCTTTTATTAGACGATAAATCTGGCGGTTTCAGTTCCCTGAAGGAAGTTTGCCCTTTTTGAAGTTTGTGGTTTTTCACTGAGATTAGGAAATTGAAACATTCTAACCTCATAACACAGCAGGCACCTCCTGAGGGATGCTCACTCCGTCCTGGGCCTCACCCTCAGCCCGATGAAGGTAGGTGCCAATGGAAGATGGACCAGTTTGTTAAGGAATTGCTGCAGCACATCCGTTCTCTCTCAGAAATTGTCAGGAAATTATCCCAGAAATCCTGGATCAAGTGCACTCAGGTGTAATATTCAGACAGGTTCTAGGGGATTATAAAACATTAATTTGAAGGTGAGTCCCACACAGTTATTGGCTTGGAACACCCACCGAAGATAACACGGTATTGTCATTAATTATAGAAATATAGATAGAGCCGATATCTTTATCCTGGCCTTTCCTATCTCGGGCCCTCACAATAGCCGTTTTGCTTAATATCTCTACTGCAGACAACTATCCTACCAGCTCTACTGTGTACTTACTCAAAGCCAGGTTGGGTTGGTGTGACCAGCATCGCCAAATTACAGATAAAAACTTGCGGAGGCGTGCGCAAATGAAACATTGAGACAGAAAGACAGCCGGAATTCATGAACACAAGTTTTCTCTACCTCAGTCGGGGGGGCCCCAGCACCTCCCATGAGTAACAAGAGCAGTTCATTTTAATTTCAACAGTTTTTGCATCAGCTAAGTGCACATTCTCCTCTTGCACAGCTGGCTGGCAGCGTCAGCATCAAGGCATCCAGCGGTGTGGAGGGTCCCTTAGTGTTTCTGAAAGCCCCAAGTCAGACCGGGGACTGTGGAAAGAGAAGAGAGGCAATTCCGAGTTGTTGCACATGACGAGGCTGGGGATATTGTTTTTTTTTTTTTTTTTTTTTTTTTTTTTTTTTTTTTTTTTCCAGAAGGAAGAATGGAAAGCCTTATGTCTCACCCGTGGAAACAAAGCCAGTCAGGCTTCAGTGAACTCTTAACACTCTTGTCAGGTCTTGAGTTTTTAGAAGAAAACTGGCCAGGGTTTCACATGTTCTTGTCCTCAAAGGAAATCATCTTATGAAGGATCTTTACACTCAGCCTACAAAGTGTGGGCTTGGTTGTGGTTTTACACCCAAAGAGTCACCGGGAGGGCTGCGCTCGACGGACAGAGCTCCCTGACGCTGTCACGGGGTGTCACCAACACTGAGGGCCTGGGCCTCATAGTCCCTAATGTAACAGATGCTGAGCTCTGTGGGAACAGGCCTATCAAGACCCAAGGTCACCTGGTAGGATAGTGCCCGTTAAGAGATACAGGTTGATATCCTCAAGGTACCCAGGGGTACTTTCCCTTTGGGCATTTCCCAGTTGGAAGCAGGTCCATTTAAAACAAAACAAAACAAAACAAAACAAAACAAAACATAATACTTTAGCAGGGACCAGTTTGGCTCAGTGGATAGAGCGTCGGCTTGGGGACTGAAGGCCCCGGGTTCAATTCCGGTCAAGGGCATGTACCTTGGTTGCGGGCATATCCCCCGTAGGGGGTGTGCAAGAGGCAACTGATCAATGACTCTCTCTCATTGATGTTTCAAACTCTCTATCTCTCTCCCTTCCACTCTGTACAAAAATCAATAAAATAAATTAAAAAAAAAACACATAATACTTTAAATGTAGATTCGTGTTTGAGTCAGGTTCAAAGAGCACTTGTTAATTATTACAAATCAACAGGTATTGGGTCTTTCCTGTGTCCCATTTGGTGCTGGAATCATTTCTTCTCTTTATTTTCCTGTGGTAAATAACGTCATCTATTTTAAAATGTAAACACAGAAGTATTCAGATTCGAGTTAAGCAAAGTCAGAAGCTGTATGACTTTTTTAAAAAATATATACTTTATTGATTTTTTTATAGAGAGGAAGAGAGAGGGATAGAGAGTTAGAAACATCCATGAGAGAGAATCATCAATCAGCTGCCTCTTGCACATCCCCCGCACTGGGGATGTGCCGGCAACCAAGGTACATGGCCCTAACCGGAATTGAACCTGGGACCTTTCAGTCTGCAGGCCGATGCTCTATCCACTGAGCCAAACCGGTTTCGGCTGGATAACTTTTTAATGAAAGAACACGTGCCGAGAGCTCGCTGTTAACAACCGCCTCGGTGGAGATTTCAGAGTCTAATTGCCTTCCACTCCCTTGAAAATAATTGTTGCCTTCTCCCCACTTTCTTTTCTAAATCAACTCTACCCAAATCAGTTTTGCCAGTTGTAGAGTTTCACATGCAGGAAGGTCTATTTGATGCCTTTGTACGTTTAACAATGGCCTTAACACCTGGGATTGTTCTCCAAGGATTCGTTAGGTAAGAAGGACTGGGATAAGGAATTTCTGCAACAAAATAAAAATAAAATAATGAGACTTCCTGGTATGTCCTGAGGGAATTTGTATCTTGAAAAGAAAAAGTAAAAGGATTTTCGGTCACTTTCTGCTTTTGTGCGGTTGGGAAGGACTTGAGGTAGGCTGGCGGGTAGATTCCACAGGAAATTTGCAGGGTTTTAGCCTAGCCAGCTGTCCCAGCAGCAAGCAACTGTTCAGTCCAAGTGCCGCCTCTGGGGTTCAGCAGTGCTTGGGTCCTGGTATGAGAGGAGGGAAGAGAAGGAGAAATGTAGAGAGAGGGAAGGAGAATAGGAGGGGAGAGTAGGAAAGAGAAGCGAGACTGGAGGTGCGAGAATGGTGCTGGGATGAGAGGGGGCTAGTACCACCTTGGGTGCCTCTTGGTGCCCTGTATTTACTTCTATATATATTATTTTTTAATTGATTTCAGAGAGGAAGGGAGAGGGGGAAAAGAGAGAGAGAGAGGGAGAGAGAGAGAGAGAGAGAGAGAGAGAGAGAGAGAGAGAGAGAGAGAGAGAGAAATATCAATGAGAGAGAATCGCTGATCGGCTACCTTCTGCAAACCCCACCCTGGGGATTGAGCCCACAACCTAAGCACGTGCCCTGACCAGGAATGGAACTGTGACCTCCTGGTTCATAGGTTGACGTTCAGCCACTGAGCCATGCCGGCATGGGCTGCATTTACTTCTTAAAGGGTCTAAAACAGTGGTCGGCAAACTCATTAGTCAATAGAGCCAAATATCAACAGTACAACGATTGAAATTTCTTTTGAGAGCCACATTTTTTAAACTTAAACTTCTTCTCATGCCACTTCTTCACTATAGACTCACCCAGGCCATATTCTGTGGAAGAGCCACACTTCAGGGGCCAAAGAGCCGCATGTGGCTTCCGAGCTGCAGTTTGCCCACCACTGCTCTAGGGTGTCAGGTCGAGCTCTCTCCTGCCCTAACCCAGGGCTGGCCGGCCTATGCAGTAGGTTGTCCTGTCCTTTCTCTATGTCACCGACAGACAAATGAGTGCGGCTTCCTGTTCGTCGGCCCAGGGTGATTCCTGACCTTGGGTTCTTGTCCCACCACAGTGGGCTCGTCCCTAACGCTCGGCCTTCTTTCTAGGGAGCCCGTGGATGAGGTGCTGCAGATCCCCCCGTCCCTGCTGACATGCGGAGGCTGCCAGCAGAACATCGGGGACCGCTACTTCCTGAAGGCCATCGACCAGTACTGGCATGAGGACTGCCTCAGCTGTGACCTCTGCGGCTGCCGGCTGGGCGAGGTGGGCCGGCGCCTCTACTACAAGCTCGGCCGCAAGCTCTGCCGGAGGGACTATCTCAGGTACCCCCTCGCCATCCTCGGGGTCCTCAGGGGGGGAGGGACTATCTCAGGTACCCCTTCTCCATCCTCGGGGCCCTCAGGGGGCAGGGACTATCTCAGGTACCCCCTCGCCATCCTCGGGGTCCTCAGGGGGGGAGGGACTATCTCAGGTACCCCTTCTCCATCCTCGGGGCCCTCAGGGGGCAGGGACTGTCTCAGGTACCCCCTCGCCATCCTCGGGGCCCTCGGGAGGGAGGCTGGGTGTCCACAGACATGGAGTCTGAGTCCACCTGCGGGGCTCCTGCCAGATTGAGCTTAGGCTGCAGAGGCTGTCTCCGCGGCCCCATGCAGAGAAGCAGTTGGCATTTCTTCCTGTTCGAGAAGCAGGTTTTCATCCATTCCTTGGGGGGGAGAGGAGGGTAAAATACAAATAGTTTAAAGGTGCCGAAACCGGTTTGGCTCAGCGGTAGAGCGTCGGTCTGCGGACTGAAAGGTCCCAGGTTCGATTCCAGTCAAGGGCATGTACACTGGTTGCGGGCACATCCCCGGTAGAGGGTGTGCAAGAGGCAGCTGGTCGATGTTTCTCTCTCATCGACGTTTCTAGCTCTCTATCTCTCTCCCTTCCTCCTCTCTGTAAAATATCAATAAAGTATATTTTTAAAAAAATAGTTTAAAGGTAAGAGAATGATAAACACAAATTCAGATTCCTTTGTACGTGTGAGGGTGGGCTCTTAGGAGCTCATGGAATGCTTCAAAGCAAACCTATCGGTTACAACTATTCCTTTGTATGACTCCAACTATTAACAAAATAAACAAAAAGCATGTTCCCACTGTGGTGCTCCAAGAATTTGACCCTTTACCGTAGGAAGGCCCTGAAGTCAGTTGTAGGTTTGAGCCATGGCACCACTGCTTTCTAGCCCCATGACCTGGGGCAAGTCACTAAACTTCTCCAAGCCTCGATTTCCTTATCTGTAAAATGGGGACAATATAATACCTACTTCCAAGGAGGAGGTCAGGGTTAGATGGGGTAATACACGTAAGGTGCCCGATTTGGTGCACAAATATCAAATAGATGTTCGCTGCTCTTGTAACTGACCCTCCTGACATCTCCTGCGGCCCTAGCTGGTCTGGTTCAGTGGATAGAGCGTTGGCCCTGCGGACTGAAGGGTCCCTGGTTCGATTTCAGTCAAGGCACATGCCCGGGTTGTGGTCTTGATCCCCAGTAGGGGGCGTGCAGGAGGTAGCCGATCAATGATTCTTTCTCATCATTGATGTTTCTATATCTCTCTCTCCCTCTCCCTTCCTCTCTGAAATCAATAAAAATACATATATAAAAAAAATATAGATTATTATTAAAAAAAAAAAAAGACCTCTGTCTAAGGAACAAAGAGGTGGGAGAATGGAGGAGCAAATAGGACCTCCACAACACTCAGACAACCACTGAGGACCTCTTTAAGGCTCAAGGTCATATATACTTTTGGCCATTTGAGTCTTCCAGCATTCAATGAGTGCCTTTTCCCGGAATGTTCTAGAATTTCCAGTTTCACATTGGCTGCTGTGGAGGTAACTCTGAGCCCTCTATTGTCAGATCTGCTCAGCTGTGTAGCTGTCAGTTTTCTGCCCTCTTCCTGTGGCAGGGGGTCTGTGGAGCATGCAGTCCTAATACACGAGGGCCACCCAACCCTGGAAGCTTGTTTAGACTCCAGTGCCCTTGGCTGCCAGGCCTGCTCTTACCCCCGCAACCCACCCTGCCGAGCGTTTTACATTAAAAAAAAAAAAAAAAAATTGCAGGCAATTCCACAGTGAAGAAAGCTTATCTGCTTACCGAGAGACTGATAGAATAAGCTTCCCTCGTCCCCCCTAAATCCCCTGATAAAGTCCTTGCAAATTTGGTGATTCAGAGAAAATAAGTAGGGTTTTCAATGATCATGATTATCTTTCTGGTCAATTTCTTGTAAGCGACAAAAGGAAATAAAACCGGGATAACCAGAGACCAGTTTGCCAAGTCGATGCAGAAGGCAGACGAGCAAATGATTCCCATCGGGCCCCCGGACGACATCCCTGTCAAATCATTTGAATCTGATTAAATGGAGTGCCGGGAGAGGAAGGTCAGAAGAGCCGGGGCTTCTCCCATCTCCACGGTTTTATAGAACCTTCCAGAATAAACCCAGTGCTGCCTGGCCCTGTTAATCTTTTCCATTTCTGAAAAGGAGAGGCAGAAATGGTCTGGGAGAACCCGGTGTTAATTAACTTGTGTCTCGGTGACATGAAATAATTCTTCTCCCCGCTACATTCCTAGGCAACATGTTAATTAACTGTGTTAGTGCAGGCGGTTCCAGCCACCCTTTAATATTTCTGTTATTGTTATTAACATGGGCAGGAGAAGGCTTAAGGCGTGACACCTCTTGACAGAGGAGAAAAAGGTATCTGTCCGGGCCTTAACAAGGGCATGCTGGAGTGACTCAAGGGGTCCTATGATGGGGTTCAGTTCTTCCCACTGGGATAACTTCTCCTGAGGTTCTCCAATGGCTGGCTGGCCAGTTACAGTCTTTTCCAGACATTTAGCCTCCATTACTTATGAGACACCACGCAGGGCCTAAAGCCTGCATTGTTGTGTTGTGTTGTGTTATTGTGTTATTGTGTTGCTGTGTTGTGTTGTTGGGAGCCTAACCGTAGCTGTTAATATGAGTGCTGGCCCACTCCCTTCCGCTCCCTTTTCACCAATTTGTGGGTGCAGGGCGCCCACCAACCCAGTGGTTTCAACAGCCAGCACCTGCATCTGTTACAGCTGGGAGCAAGCCCCCTCCCCCCAGACGCCCAGGTCACCTGAACCAATGACTTGCACTGGGGGAGCACCAACACCCCGCACCCTTGCCTGGAGCCAGGGTGACCTCAGAGTCCCCTTGCCGACCGGCCAGAGCTCCCCCAGACCCCCCACACCCAGGGACTCAGCCCGAGATGCAGTGGTGCTCGCCTTGCTTGCCTCTGTCCAGTGTTCTTGCCCCCTATTCGGTTTCCCAATAACCCACCCTCAGGACCCCCTCCCGTTGGGCTCTGCGTCTGGGATTTCCAGCCTGAGGCCCCCGTTCTCAGTGCCAGCGCGAATGCTCACATTAGATGCCAGGTCCTGGGGTATTTTAACTCTGAGCAGAATCTCCCCGAACCCGAGCTGGCCTGGCTGCAGAGGCCTTCGCTTCCAGTCCCCTCGCTGTCCGGCGGAAGACGCTGAAGCCGGGAGAGAGGAGTCCTCTGCTCCGGGGCGCCTGGCTCGTTAGAAGCGAGGCTAACTAGCCCTGAGCTTGTCTCCGGAATGTCCCTCCTCTGGCCTTGCCTTCATCAGCTGCCTGATGTGTCTGGTCATTTACCCCCGACTTCCCTTTAATAAACACTGTCCTTCCTAACGGGTCACACGCCCCAGGCGGCTGGCTTCATTTCTCGCACACCGTTGGGTTTATCCTCGCTCAGGCCCAAGCTCCACGTACGGAGCAGCCAGGAAGCCAGAACTGCCTTTCCACTCTGTGACCTCCAAGGTGGCTGTCTCCTGCCGCTCCGCCATCTGCTGCGCCGGGATCCAATGTTCTCCCCCAGTAATGAGCTTGCTCCCACGGGGTGCCGTGAAAAGGCTCAGAGCTCTTCCAACGGGAAGCGGGATCCAGAGGGAAAGGAGCTGGCCCTGGCTCTCGCAGGGAGCTCTCTGCCCTCAGACCAGGTCTGCCACATCCCCGTCAATGTGGCCCACATGTTTCTTAATTTGCCCATTGCCCTTCCCTGCCCTACAAGCTCTCAGACTGTATCAATCGACTCCCTGCTATTCTGAAGTTAATAAGAATTTCCTCTAAGAACAAGTACTTACCTAACGCTGTCCTAAAGGTTCTATGAGAGAAGGACCTGCTAAAATGCCACGTTATCGGGCACGTGCTTAGACACACTCCCTTCGATCCTCTACCGCGGAGTGAGGTAGATGCTATGCTCACTGCCCTTTCACAGCTCACAGGAACCAGGCTGCTTCCCTAAAACCCAGAATCACCTGTAGGTGCTCCTAGACACACAGAATGCTGGGCCTCACCCCCACCAAAAAGTGTCTCCTCAACCAGGGGAGCCTGAGGACGTGCACTGCTGACGAGTTCCCAGGTGATGCAAATGCTGGTGGTTCCAGGACCACCCTTGGAGAACCACTGCTCTTGGCTCCACGGTGTGCGTCTCCCACATGGCCACTGTGTCGTGCTTAGAAGATTCAGCAACGGATCTAGTGAAATATTCATGGACTGCTCTATTGAGACGTAGGAGAGTCTTTATTTTAATGTCAGAAGAGAGGTTTCTCCCAGATTCATGGCAACAGGACAGCAAGGACCTTGAATTAAGATCTTGTATTCGACGTAGAGAAATGCTATTAGTCGTCTCAATCTCTGAGGCTGATTCACTGTACCACGTGCTTTCTGTCCAGCCCCCTCTGTCTCCCAGAAGCTGGGGGCCCCATGGGCAGTCATGTGGAGGTGGCCTTGGGAGCTTATGGAATTAGTAGCCGTTGACATGATAGAATCTGAGAGCCTCTGAAAGATGCCCATTTCTTTACATTCTTGGTCAGTTCTCTGTCAGCGGGTCCCCCAGGGGTTTTACTCCGTCTTCCAAAAACCCTGGGATACATGCCTAACCTCTTCACTTAGATCTCTTCCACTGAATCTTTTCCACAGAGGAGGGCCTGGGCAGCCTAGAGGTGTGGGGTGGGGATGGGGGGAGTAAGGGGGATGCTACAGGCAGGGAGAGAGCTCAGCAGAGGGACAGTTATGCCAAACACAAATGCCACAGGTTACGGTTTCATCCCAGAGTACCTTCTTCCTTGCAGGAAAGGCCATGTGAGTCGGCCATCTGTATGAGCCCAACTCCTCCTTGCTTCCTGACATCTTAGAAATTCAGCCTCCTCCTCCTCCAACCCTTTCTTCCAGTGTCTCTGCCAGTGTCCTCACATTTTCTTTCTTTCTCTGCCCCTCCCCCGCAGGCTTTTTGGCCAAGACGGTCTCTGTGCCTCCTGTGACAAGCGGATCCGTGCCTACGAGATGACGATGCGGGTGAAGGACAAGGTGTACCACCTGGAGTGTTTCAAATGCGCCGCCTGCCAGAAGCACTTCTGCGTGGGCGACAGATACCTGCTCATCAACTCCGACATAGTGTGCGAACAGGACATCTACGAGTGGACTAAGATCAACGGCATGATCTAGGCGTGCCCGGGGGGCGTTCCGCTGACGTCACTGTCTCCAAGGGGTCCTCACTCTGAGGCACGTTGGGGATTCCAGGGCGGGATGAGGCATTTCGTAGGGGGCGGTAGACCCTAATTGGGCACAAGACACAGCATCTAAGTGACAGAATGCAAAAAAAAAATGATATACCTAAATGCGACACAACGACCAGCCATTAGGGAGAACGTATGGCTGGTAGCCACAGCCTAACCCATGATAACTGACATGATTTGTGAAGGAAAGGAGCGTTCGGGGAGGGGGCAGCACATGGGCCATCATGGAACTTTCATCTACAGGTAGGGAGTTATGGGAAGACGTGCTATGGATTTGACCCTTGGGAACTAAAGGTGTGCAATTGATTTCTTTACTTCCTGGCTTTCCTGTCAACCCTGTTCCAATCACTGTCCTCCTCTCATGAGAAGGAAGCAGCAATGGAGACACATTTCAGTTGAAAATGGGAACTGCAGCGCCCAACCACACAATTGTTTAAAGCCACACTGACGCACCCCTGTGTTTAGATCCCTTGGTTTCTAGGTGAGGAGTTCCACAGATGGTTTCTATACAAATGTAAATCTAAAAAAAAAAAAAAAAAAAAAAAAAAGGTGGTTCAACTATTTTGTTATGTTAGATTATATCCAAGTATGTGTTGTGTGTCGTTACAGAAACAACAACAGCACAGTAAAACACCGAACCTCTGCAAACAATAAAAACGACAGACTAAAATGTAGTGTTGTGTATTCGATAATGACTTAACAACTTGGGATGGCGGGGGGGAAATGGCTTTTTATATTGTAAAGGAGAAGTAAATAAGCAGTTTACTTTTAGGTCAAATAAAAAGTTCCGTTTATTGCTCGGGTTTATACGAGGCAGGCACATTTCTATATTACCAGCAATTATATAACAGGTCATCATGTAGCTCAGAGGGATGGGGAGTAATTAAATTGTGATTGTGAGACGCACATCTCACTCCAGCATTGTGTGAAGGAAGCGGAAGATCCTTGCCTTTGGGAAACCTGTAACCTAGAAAGGACACAAATACATAAAACAGATTCCCTTCGGGAGAGAAGGTAATTACCTAGTTTGAAATGTAGCAAAGATGCTGAGCTTGACACTTTGATTTTCCCAGACGTGTGTCTCAGGGTGTTTTATGACAAGTGGTTAAGAGGACCTCACTCTGAGGATTTAAAGCAGGAACCTTCTTGGTGCGTTTACTCCTCCCCTCCCCCTTCTTCCCCCTCCCCCAACCCCCCATCCACACTCTTCTGGTCTCCGCGAACTGACTCTGAGCGCCACCTGCTGGTCATCGCCTCTCAAGACTGTCCCAATGAAAGACCAACCTAGATGGACATTCTTTTCAATTGTTCAATAAAAACTGGCGAGCAGTTGTAATATGTTTAGTTATTAAGACATCAGAAACACGCATCTATTTCTAAGTTAATTAACTATGATATTTCTTTAGAACTTCCATCACTAAGGGCTATTTGATTTCTTCTAGAGGAGAAATAATTAAGAGATGGCTCTGGGTCCGTAGAAGTGCTTGGGAAATCTGGCTGCTTAAGGTGGCCAATTTAAAACAAATACAATTATACTGCATTTCAACTCAGGTGGCAGTAGGGTGAATCACCAAAGGGGCCCTAACCAGTGTGGCTCAGTTGGTTGAGCATCACCCCGTGAACCTGAGAGAGGTCACTGGTTCAATCCCCGGTCAGGGCACATGGTGGGATTTGGGGCTCAAGCCCCAGTATGGGGCGTGCAGGAGGCAGCAATCAATGTTTCTCCCTCTCCCTCCCTCTCTCTCTAAAATGAATAAAAACGTATTTAAAAAATAAATCAACAAAGGGGATGTGGTTCTTGAATTATCATCAGAATTCAATCCACTATTTTTAATTACACCGACATTAATTGTAATGACAATAGCAATAGATGTTGGCTATGCAACTATTTTATAGGCAGTGTTAGGTGACAATAAAAATGTTTCTCACCTTGGAAATGTAAACTTCATTCTTCACCCCCATGGCGGTATAACACACAGAAGGCTGAAGAACTCAGCCAAGCCCTAGCTGGTCTGGCTCGGTGGATAGATCGTCGGTCTGCAGACTGAGGTCCCAGGTTCGATTCCGGTCAAGGGCACATGCCAGGGTTGCGGGCTTGGTGCCCAGTAGGGGGCGTGCAGGAGGCAGCAGATCAATGATTCTCTCTCATCATTGACATTTCTCTCTCTCCCACTCCCTTCCTCTCTGAAATCAATAAAAATATCTTTAGGGAAAGACCCCTCAGTCAATTCCTTTGCCATCCTCGATAAAGCAATGATGAACATTTTGCTTTTGTCAATGGCACCATCTTGCAGGATTGGGCGTCCTTGTGGTAAGTCGTCCCATCCACATGGTTAGTATGGTGTCTCATGTGGTAAGTCTGGGCTCAAATGCCTAACCCACAACTGGCTTGAGAGGAAGGGCATAAAAGAGAGACTAAGAGACTTCTGGGGAGAAGAGAGAGAGAGAGAGAGAGAGAGAGAGAGAGAGAGAGAGAGAGAGAGAGAGAGAGAGAGAGAGAGAGAGAAAGAGAGAGAGAGAGAGAGAGAGAGAGAGAGAGAGAGAGAGAGAGAGAGAGGGAGGGAGAGAGGGAGAGAGAGAGAGGGAGAGAGGGAGAGAGAGAGAGAGAGAGGCTGACTTCCAGGGGACCTGCTCCCAGAGTCTCTACCCTGGTGATTTTTTGCCTGAGTGTGTAACCCAGGTGCCCTAGCTTCAGAGCCAGGAGAACCAGGCGCCTGCCCCCTTCCCTGGCCCATGCCTGAAGTCAGCGGTTTGCAGAAACGTTTGCTCCCTCTCACCTCGGTAATCCTATGCCAGAACCAGCTCCCTGTGATTGCTGTCTCTGCTATTACTACTGCTTCTCCGGGAATCTTGAAATACCACAGTTGAGATAGAGCTGTGGCTAGGAGCTTCCCCATCTGAAGACTTGGAATTGAATTGCAGCGACAGGACTGTTTTACTTGAGGAACATTTATATAACCCTTACCATGTGCCGGCACTCCCCTCGGTGCTTTAGAAACATAGACTCCCTTAATCCGCCTAACAGCCTTATGGGGCCGCTCCTATTTATTACCGCCCAGATTTTACTGTTGGGGAAACTGCAGCTCAGACAGGTTATGTAACTTGCCGAAGGCCCTACAGCTAATAAATGACCGGTGTCGGCTTTGACCGAGGGAGGGCCTCCCTTTGTGCTTGCTGCCTCTCTCTCGGTTGCACTCACCTGGACCTCAGGTTTACCATCTGCAGAATAAAAACTAACAACTTTGTCCTCAGGTTCTTGGAAAATATCTGATCTTAGTCTAACCAGAAATGTAACGGAAGCACACTCATACAAGACTAACACCAGGCAAACCCGGTTTGGCTCAGTGGATAGAGCGTCAGCCTGTGGACTGAAAGGTCTCAGGTTTGATTCCGGTCAAGGGCATGTACCTTGGTTGCGGGCACATCTCCAGTAGGGGGTGTGCAAGAGGCAGCTGGTCGATGATTCTCTCTCATCAATGTTTCTAACTCTCTATCCCTCTCCCTTCCTCTCTGTAAAAAAAAAAATCAATAAAATATAAAATAAAATAAAATGTCAACATCATAAAAGGCAAAGATGGGCTGTGTTCCAGATGAAAGAAAGCTGAGGAGGCCTGAGCACTAAAGCCCAGCATCTGGCTCTGCGCTGGATCCAGGTCTGGGGCGGGGGACGTTTCTCTGAAGGGCATCCTTGGGTTCCTTGATAAACTTGGAATGGGAATGGGTAGATCTGTTCACAGAATAGCTGGTAAATCCAGGGGAGCCGATACCTGTCATGAGGTGTATAACTTATTCTCAAACGAGTGAGAAAAAATCATGTGTGTGTTGTGTGTGTTTGTGGGGAGAGAGAGAGTCGATGTTAAAGCAAATGCGGCCGAAACCGGTTTGGCTCAGTGGTAGAGCGTCGGTCTGCGGACTGAAAGGTCCCGAGTTCGATTCTGGCCCATGGCATGTACCTTGGTGGTGGGCACATCCCTAGTGGCGGGTGTGTAGGAGGCAGCTGGTTGATGTTTCTCTCTCATTGACGTTTCTAGCTCTCTAGCTCTCTCCCTTCCTCTCTGTAAAAAATCAATAAAATATATTTTTAAAAGATACATATAATAAAGCAAAAGCGGTAAACATGTTAACAGGAGATTCTAGGTAAAGGACACATACATGTGCTGGTTTTATTCTTGGGGTTTTCCTGTGAGTTTAAAACTACTTTCAAATAAAAGTTTGTAAAAAATGGAGGAATTTGGATGATTTTTTTCTTTTTTCATATGTTTTTTGTTGATTTTAGAGAGAGAAGAAAGAAGAGAGAGACATCAATGTCAGAGTGAAACATGGATCAGCTACCTCCTGCATTCCCCCTCCAGGGGATGGAGCCCACAACCCGGATAGGTGCCCCGATCAGCAATTGAACCCATGACTTCTCAGTTCATGGGATGATGCTCAACCAACTGAGCCATACTGGCCAGGGCTGGGCTTTTTCTTGTTTTGAATTTTCATTTCAATTAGGAGAAGAAGAAGGAGGTAAAGAGAGAGAAAATATACTTTCAAATTCAGTAATATATTACTATTCATTTCTCATAATTTCAATGCACTTTGACCTTGGAAGTGAAGGTCATGTGTCTCAAACAAGTAATCCGCCCTCCCCACCCCCCTAGAGTGTTTAGGATTCACTGCATGCCAATGTCTGAAGCAGGTTATTTCGCAACCTTACAAAATGAGCTTACTGCCAGTTCTGCATTTCCTTTGTAATTAGGATCGAGATGTAATCATCTGGCTCTGAAATGTGCGTATCCGAGGGCCAGGAATCGAAGCTATAATATTTTATGTCTTATACCTAGATCTAAGAGTTGAGTTAAAAGATGTTACAAAGCGCCAAAGCCATTTCCGTCCTCTCCCAGTGGCTGTGTATAAATTCTCCCAGAAAACAGTCATTTCTCTGAG